CGGCTATGGAGGAAAAGCCCTTCACAAACCTCCTGTAATAAGACGCCAGTCCTAGGAAGCTTTTGAGCTGTTTCTGGTCTGCTGGTGTGGGCCACTCGGTAATGGTGTGAATTTTTTCCTCCAAAGTGCTGATGCCCTCACGACCCAGCTTGTGGCCCAGAAACTCCACCTCCCTCCTCATGAAGTGGCACTTGTCGGGATGCAGCTTCAGGCCTGCAGCCGCCACCCTCTCCAACACTTGTCTCAGGGCATCCAGGGCAGCATCAAAGGAGCTCCCGTGCACTAGAAGATCATCCAGGTAAACCAGACACCGTTGCCGTGGGACGCCAGCCAGCACACTGTCCATGAGCCTCTCGAAGGTCGCAGGAGCGTTGCAAAGGCCAAAACTCAGGACTTTGAACTGCCATAGTCCCCTGTTAGTGCAGAAGGCTGTCTTCGGTCTGGATTCCGGGGACAGTGGCACCTGCCAGTAGCCACTCCGCAGGTCCAGGGTGGAAAACCAGGAGGACCCCGCTACTAAGTCGAGGGACTCATCAATCCTGGGAAGGGGGTAAGAGTCTTTCTTCGTCACTTTGTTGAGTGGTCTGTAGTCCACACAGAAACGCATCCTAGGACTTTTTTTCTTAGGCACCATCACCACCGCGGAGGCCCACGGGCTATCAGATGGTTCTATGATGCCCGCCTTCATCATTTCACACAGCTCCCTGTCTGCAGCCTCCTGAAGAGCCAGGGGCAGGCGGCGGGGGCGCACTTTAATAGGCTGGGCATCCCCGGTCTCAATGACGTGCTCTACCAAGTGTGTCAAGCCAACATCACTTTCTTTCAGGGCAAAAATGTCACTAAACTCTTTTAGTACCTGCCATAGACTCTCTTGCTGCTGTGGAGTCAGCCCCTCACAGTTCTTTGACCAGATACTCCTCACTGCTGAGAGCCTCTCCTCCTCCTCCTCCTCCGCTCGCTGTTCTGCTGGCGGGTCTGCAGGGGTCTCTGCGGTGGAGGTGGACGCCGCGGCAGATGCTGTGCAGACCGGGGGAGGAATAAGCGGCACCTTCTTCCCATCAGGGAGTACGAGGAGGCCTTTGCTCGTAAAAAATCCAGCCCAAGGATGCAGGCGTCCTGCACGTCAGCCACCCAGGCAGCATAAGACACACCGAGGTCCCCCACCTTGAACTGGAACACTCCCTTCCCTCTCATTGGGGCCAGATCACCGGTCACAGTCTTAAGTTGCACGTTAGTCGGTTGTACAGCAGCTCCGGTTGGGACAATATCGGGTCGGACCAGCGTTGCATTGGATCCCGTGTCCAGCAGGGCCGTACAGGACACCCCCGCAATCGTCACTGGAACATGGCAAAAGCCGCCAACCTGGGTCCAGCCCACAGTGATGGCCGCACCGGGTGGAGGTGGCGGTGGTGTGGGGATGTCGTTCTCCCAGGCCCGTGTACTCCCGCCTACACGGGCCCGTGGGCGTTTCCCTGAACCGCTGCAAGCTTGGGGCACTGCCTGATGAGGTGTCCGACTTGTCCACATCCCCAGCAGCTCTGAGGTCGGCGGTGTGGGCCAGCCCGAGGGGAAGGCGACTGCAGCGAAGCTGTCTGCACCAAACTGCACAGGCCCGCTGGTGTCTCCATCTGTTCCACAGGTGCTGACACAGCCCTCACCACGTGTGCGTCGTCAGCGCCCCCAGAGGATCCTGCAAGCATCTCCCTCTCCAACGCTAGCTCCAGGGCTGCACTGAGTGTGGCCGGCCGAGCAAGCTGAGTTTGCATGCGGAGCTCTTTAGGGCTCAGGGCCTGCAGGAACTGGTCCCGAGCTAACTCCGCCTGCACTGATGGTGGCATGCTGTCATACGCCCTCCGGCAAAGGCACTCGATTTCATGGGCCAAAATGCGGAGGGGCTCACCTGGCAATCTGCGTCTGTTGTGGAACTCCGACCTCAGCAGCACTGGTTGGTTATACTGCCCGAAGCGCCTCTGAAGTGCTCCGACCAGAGCATTATAATCTCCCCTCTGCTCCTCGGTCAGCAGCAGCAGGCATGCAGCTGCATCCTCACACAGGCACAAAGCCAATTGGAGAGCTTTATGTTCCTCAGACCAGCCAGCTGCAACAGCTAACAGCTCGAACTGTGCGATAAACACCTCCCATGGCGTCTTGCCGCTGAACTTAGGCGTTTTTATATTCGCTGCAGCTTGCTGGGCGCCGCCATGTTTGTTTACATCACGTGACGGCGCGCCGAGCGAGGTCGACTCCTTCCCGCCGGAATCGCGGCCGCTGTGCGAACAGTTCCCGAGCCTAGTCAAACCTGGAGAAAATCCAGCCTCGGCAGACAGCCGCAGCGCCGTTTCCCTCACTCCATGGGCGGGCGAGCGCGGACGAACCTCCCTCTCCTCCGTCTCCTTCTTAATCCTGCCCGGCAACATCCTCGTCTCGTAACGGCAAGCGTCGCCGGCAACAGGGTCTCGGGCGTTCTGGGGTTCTTTTTTCTTTCTTCACTTCTGACACCAATGTAACGTTCACAAGAACCAGACGGTTGGGGTCTCAGTTTGTCCGTTTATTCGGCACATAAGCCAGCGGGTTGTTAACTCAAGGGGAGCGCTCTCGAACTACCCCTCTCTTCAGCCTGGCACACACACAGAACTACCAGGTCCCCCCACCCCTTCCTGTACACCACCCTCACTACTTCCTGCAGCCCAACCAAACATGAATCTTAAAGGAACAACAACAGTGTGCAGAGAAAACCAACATGTCACTGTCCAGTAACACTTAACCATCGTTACATTATGATACGTACAATAGTCTTTCGTTCTACACGGTGCATTTCAAGGTCCTGTACCCATCCGTCGGTAAACTGTACCTGGGCTTGTTGCAGTGACCTGAAGTTACTAAAGTTCATGAGTGTATGCACTCACTCCAAGAAGTGTATAATTATAAATCTGAGCGTGGTGAAAGTTGGGCAGCACGCTGACGTCTTTTGTCCACTCTTTCACTCCTTTGATTTTTTCCTCGTATCTTTTCTTTGTCTTTTCGTCGAGTCTGTCTTTGTACGGACCGGCATTGTTCTCCTTTTGTTTTGTACATAACTTTTTTGTGCGGCAAAGAAAAAAAAAAGAAGGTATTGGAACCGGAGAATGAATGTTTTGCGGTGCTGCAAATGTTTGCGTTTGATGCGGTACTTGGATTGTTTTGCCACGAGTTCCCGGCATGCAATGCGCGAAAATCACGTGATTGCTAAAGAAGGGGGAGGGTGCAGCCAGCCTCCTCGGCTGTAATTGGTCCAGCCCAGAGTCGATCATGACCAATTGGCCAAATGCCCGGTATGCCCGATGGCCAGTCCAGCTATGCTGTCAACTGAAGGCTGTGTGAAGGCTGGAGTGGTGGTAAGGAGGACCCAATGCACAGACATTAGGAGGCAGAACGTAAACTCAAACTCAGATTTATTGCTAGATGGCAAACAGAGAACTAGCAAAACTGAGAATACAAATACTAAACTGAAAATAACAATAACCTAGTGATGGGTCTAGCAACACTGACACACCGACGCTTGTATCAAGCTCACAGAGCAAACCTGTATCGGTGCGCGCGTCACTTTAAGAAAAAGTCACGTGATCGATACAGCGGCTGTATCGCTCATTGCCAACTCGCCAAAATGTGTTTAAAAGGTACCGCATCCGCATCTGCCAACGGAATGAGTCGCCAACAAAAAACCCCACAAAATTACTCTCGCAAGGGTAAAAAACAACAACAACATATCTCTCCATAAAAAAACGGAGCCCGAAAGAAAAAGAAATGTTTCTGCTGTGTGGGGTCATTTTGATCTTTTAACTGCAAATAAGGTAACTGTTTGTCTGTCTTTGTTTCAGTGTAATCTATCAGAACAGGAAAAACAGCAATGTGACCTGCAGTGTAAAATATTTACTTCATTTTATGCAGGTTAAATGTCGCATCTGTTCTGCGGAGCTTCTTACACAAACAAAAGCACCTCCTCAGTGTTTAGGCATTACAGAGCCAAACATGAAAATGAGGAGACAAACACACTGAGAATGAACACAGGTTGTCCTATATAGACATTGAGCAGCATTATCATCATATATATATATTTTTTAAATATGTGTTTTATTATTTTGAAATCAAGCATCTAGGAAGACTGTTTTTGACCAGGCAGTCCTGAATTTTATTATAAAGGACAGCCAACCCCTTAGTATTGTGGAGAATGTTGGAGAGGAACATTCCAAGATCAGAGGATCCTTTAACGTACTGGGGGACTAGGAGGACATCTTATCTGAACCTTTTCCACCTGGCTTTACAGTTTTTGTGTACCCCAGCTTTATCTGTGCCCTGTGAGCGTGTTTTTCCAAAGCTAGGGAGATGGTGTCCAAAAAACGCAATAGACTGAATGCAAAAACATTGGATAAACTTATTTTTCTGAATAGTCAATTTTCTTTAAATGGGTAACATTACATTCATAATACTTTCGTTTTAATTTTCGCTTAATGTGATTCACAATATATTTAAAGATGTCTACAATATTTGCAATGTAAAAGATATAAAATGATTCCATGGACAGTGTATACAAATATGACTAGGTCATTGAATCAGTGTCTGTTGTGAGTCTCAAGTAAGTTGCCTGCAATGATATTTAAGGTCCAGCAGGTGTCAGTATGGAGCAAAATAGCAACACTGTGTCGACACAGTATCGATACAGTTTGGGGAATGTGCTGAAACACTTCACAAGGCCTCATCTACCCATCACTACGCTAGCTCGAGCGAGCGGACGGACGGAACACACAGCATGAAACGAGGGTAGATCGCAACCCGGACAAAGAGAAACACAGGGCTTAAATACACAGAGGGAGCAATCAGGGAATGGGAAACAGAAAGGAAACACAGCTGGGGCAAATCAGGCCTAACGAGACAAAGGAAGCAAAACCAGACACATTAACATGAGACACAGACTTTCAAAGTAAAACAGGAAACACAGACTGAACTTACAGACACAGACTCACAAGCAGGCACTGCAACAGAGGGAACAGAGACGTGGGATCAGGGCAGACACAGAGCCTGACTGGACACAGAATAGAGGGAATAAGGAAGCCAAAACTTGAGAACCACATAAACACACACCAAGAAGAACTGGGGAAAAAATAGAAATGCAAAACAAAAACCAAAATCTCCACAAAAATAAACTAAGATGAGAACACTAATAAAAAGGTACAAAACTGAAATCACTGTGTCAACGACCCAGGTACCCTAAAGGTAGAATATAAATACAATTTAGTGGCCCACAAGTTAAAGTCCAGTTTTATTCAAAGCTGCATTTCCTCCCCTGAGGATGAGCCTGGCCAGCAGAAAGGCAGATGAAGAGTTTCATTGGTCCTCTAACTGTGCCACCACACTGCGCAGTCTATCCACCAGTACTACAGAAGACAAAATATTGTTAGAAATTTAGTAAACTGAACCCCGACAGTCACAGAAAGATAACTGAACATACTGATGGAGTCATTATTATTATTATCACCTCCAGCTGAAGGCCTCTGGAAGCTATCGAAGTCTCGGCACTCGTTTATTAGCTGGCCCAGTTCTGCAGGACAGTCATCGGGAAGCGGCTCTTTGCACTTCTCTTCTAACACCTTCCTATAAATTTCTTCATCTGAAAAACCTGGAAAACATGTACAGACAACTTGGTACGGATGCCTGACTGCACAAGTTCTCAGTGATTCAGGTTCATGGTAGTGTTAGGCACTCAAAATGAAGTCGATGGGATTTCATTTTGGTTTGCGAAGACATTTCACTTCTGTATGCATGTGAGTCATTAAACTTCACATGAACCAAGGTATGAATCAAGGCCTGGGCCACTGCTGTCACATGTGCCAAGGTGTGACAGCTCTGTGAGACATTACCATGCCGTGCCATTATTTATTCAATTCGATTCAATTAAATTTTATTTATATAGCTCCAAATTACCACAGCAATCACCTTCACCTTGTATATTTTTAAGTAAAGCCCTTACAGTAATACAGAGACATTAAGATAGTAGCTCAATCAGCTTTTAGAGCAGAATAAGCATCTTGGAATACAGTTCAAATGTCTTCCCAAAAGAAAATGAAGTCCACCTGCCTTATTTGAAGTGTTTAATACCAGGATAATACAAGTTGATTTTCAGCAGATACAAACCTTCAAAGGGTTTCTTACGGGTTGCGACTTCCCACAGGACGATTCCAAAGCTGAAAGACAACAATGAAAATAGGAACGTTTTAGAAGGAACGTTTTCTAAAGCATTTGGGCATGATCAGTTCATGCCCTAAAACTCACCCAGGTTATGCAGCAGGATGATGTTGTGGAAACACACCAGCAGGTCCACCTTGTAAATCAGGGATATTATAGTTTTTCTATTTGGTTTCTATTTAGTTCAGTTTAATTTCATTTAGTTTCCAGAGTGAGTTTGCTTGTTTCAGTTTAGTTTCAAATTTTTATGTTTAGTTTCAGTTTAGTTTCTATCATCCATCCATCCCCTTTCGCTTATCTGAGGCTGGGTTGCAGGGGCAGCAGCCTAAGCAGAGAAGCCCAGACCTCCTTCTCCCCAACCGCTTCCACCAGCTCTTCCAGGGGAACACCAAGCTGTTCCCAGGCCAGCCGAGAGATATAAGCTCTCCAGCTTTTCCTGGGTCTGCCATGGGGCCTCCTCCCCATGAGACATGCCCGGAACACCTCACCGACAAGCAGTGATGGGAATAACGGCGTTACAAGTAACGGCGTTACTTTTTTCAATAACGAGTAATCTAACTAATTACTATTCCTATCGTTACAATGCCGTTACAGTTACTAACAAGAAAATGCGGTCTGTTACTATTTTTCAACAAACAGACGGTTGAAGCTGTGTTCAGCTCACCACATCTTATATCAGTTGCACGGAAGTAGCTGTAAGTAATCTGGGCGCTACAGCTTTAAGCAGCTGCGCGCTCCCGCGGACGGTAATCACGATCACTGTCTAGCACAACAGCTGGACATAAGGGGGCAAAACATTCGCATGAATGCTGCTGTTTGACTGAGGAAGAATAAAGTAGTCGTGGTGAGCCAATCACATGACCACTTAAAGATAAAGCAACAAGGTGATTTATACCAGTTTATAAATTGATCGGCCACGTAAAACCAGAGTCATGATAAACAAGATATACGCGGCGCTTTTTCCTCAATAGTTTCGTCACGTTTACTGTCTAAAGACAGCGCGGCGAGCACTCTCTGCTTATGAGCAAAAATTAAAAAACAAAAAAACGGGAAGTTTTAGGAGTGACGGAGAGAGAGAGAGCAGAAAAAGAGAGAGAGCGAGTTTTGAGATGTGAGAAATCTGTGACGTTTAGCGTGTTTGGGGTGTGTAGTTAATGTGTTGTCTTGTGTAGTTAGTGTGTAGTGTTGTGGATAGTTTTGTGTTGTGTGTCAGAACAATGAGGCGACTGCTGTCTCCAGGTAGAAACAGGAGTGATACACCTGCTGCTGTCCGACCTGCAGGTATCAGGCTGTGATGTTCTCCTTTATAGTGGACACAAATTTTTGGAGTGGCACAAATAATTTGTGGCATCTTATTGAAGAACAGCTGATTGTTCTGTAAATAGTTTGAAATGGTTATTAAAAAAATCAAGGTAAAAGGTAAATGGCTGCAAATAACTTTGTTGTTTGCAAAACTTGTGCATAGGATTTTAAAATTGACATTTATATTTGCATTTAAAGTTATGAAATATGATCATTAAACATGTTTGTGGTTGTTACAGTAAAAATATAACTTTTTCTACTCTGAGTTTATGTTTTTTGTCTGATTTTAGATCAATTGTGTTAATACAGTATGTCAAAATGAAAACATAACTGTAAATTCAGACACGTGAGGCTGTGCTGAAAACAATGATACCAAACAAGGTAAAACGTGGAGGGAACATCAAAAGTAGTTAAAAATGGCCAATTATACCCTGGACCCCAGAGGGTTAAACGTTTTTTAAAGTAACGCAATAGTTACTTTTCAAGTAATTAATTACTTTTAGAATATTGCAACTCAGTTACTTTTTTTGAAGAAGTAACTTGTAACTATAATTAATTACTTTTTATGAGTAACTTGCCCAACACTGCCGACGAGCCACACGGGAGGCATCTGTGTCAGATGCCTGAACCACCTCAACTGGCTCTATTTAATGTGGAGGAGCAGCAGCTCCACTCTGAGCCCCTCCCAGATGGCTGAACTTCTCACCCAATCTCTCAGGGAGAGGCCAGACACCCTTCAGAGGAAGCCCATTTCTGCTGCTTGTATCCAGTTACTACAGTTCTTTCGGTCACTACCCACAGCTTGTGACCATAGGTGAGGGAAGGGACGTAGATCAACCGGTAAATTGAGAGCTTCGCTTTTATACTCAGCTCTTTCTTCACCACGACAGACCGGTACAGTGTCTGCCTCACTGCAGCCGTAACACCAAACCGTCTGTCGATCTCCCGCTCCCTTCTTCCGTCATTCGTAACCAAGACCGTGACATACTTAAACACCATTTTGGATTTGCTCAACTTATCTTTGTCTAATATAAAATTTTAAACATGCCATTGTGACAAATATTCCAAAAATAATAAATCAGTAAGTGTGCTAAAACTTTTTCACATCATTTCAGCTGAACAAAAACTCATTTAATGCTGGTGTGAGTGGAAGCATATCCCAGGCTGGTGCTCACCTGTACATCTCACACTCTTTGCTGTAAGGATGGTTGATGTTGTTGAGCCTCTCGGGAGAGTAGTAGCACAGGGACCTGATTGCGTCGTCATTGGTAGATTTCTTCACCTTTTTCAGAGACGTCTCTGTTTTTGCCAGCTCAAAACCTCCGAGCTAAAAAGAACAACAACATCATCAGTGCTGCTGCTGTTCAATTTGGACTGCAAGGAATCCCAGCATGCACTGCCCTCAGTACCTTGACGGTGTAGCCTTCAGCCACCAAGAACTTGCTGCTGTTGATGCACCCGTGCACCTTAGATTTTTCTTCTGTATTGTGTAGTCTAAAATATGACAGTTAAAAACATTAGTGCATAAACTACACATTCTCATCTCAGGCTCAGCGACTCACCTGCTGTTTGGTTTGGACTTTTTTAAATGTGCTTTCTAAGATTTAAAAAAAAGCAATTATAATAATTATTTATAATATAATAATTTGTCAATAAAGCAGAAACACTGACCGATAGAGTCCTTGTGCTGCATCGAAACACATACGAGCTTTCCTGATCCAGGACAGCCTGCAGTCAGAGTCCAGAACCTGACGAAGACTTCCTTTCTCGCAGTACTCCATGATGATGAAGAACTGAGGGTTGGGTCCTACAGGTAGTCACAAGGACAAGTTATTACAAGTTCATAGCAAACTTTTCCCCATCTTTTGTTGTAATCTCTAATTTTCACTTCCTTCATAATTTTGAAAAATTGCTTCATTTTACTTCCTGTTTTACTTCCTGTTTTATTTTTACAGAAAGTCTTTATAGGACTGCACAGAGTTCTGTGAAAACTTGTTTTTTAAGGGGACTGTAGCTTCTCATGTGACTTTCTTTGTTTTTACTTCTCTTTTTTGTTCTCCCCCAAAAGGGAGGGGGTATGTAATCAGTCCCATTGGCTTATTTCCTTATTTGTTTGCCTGTCTGTCTATTTGTTTAGATGAAAATCAGGTCAAGGCCACACCAAATGCAAAAATCAGTAAAAACTTTACCTTACCCAGATATCACAACAATATACAGGGACATGAAAACTGACATCAGCATGCTATAATAAAAACATTATAACATAAGATAACTTTAGTATAGCCACTGACCGTCCAATGTCTTAACATGCTACAAGGAACTGTGGCATATTAGGAAATTGGACGGTCCAATTGTTCCTTGTCTCTTGTTGTTGTTTTTTTAAACAGACACAGGACCACAAGAACGATTCAGTCTTTATCATATGCTCTGCCAAACAAGCACAATGTCTTGATTGAGTTTACGAATGCCTTGTTATCCCTGTTCCTGTATATAGTCTGCGTCTTCTCCCTGAGTCCTTGTCAGATAGTTGTCTCTTCACCTCAGGTTCCTGCAAACAGCGACCGACTGTGTAAATAAAGTTAATGCTAAAAAGCATGCAAACATCATCAGGTCTGCTGTGGTTTTGTTACAAAGTGCTTGTGCAAGCTCCATGGCACTGTTCCCTGCAGGAGACTCATCAGCTCTGACAGATAGCAATGACATGGGTACCTACTGGCACCAAATGACCTAGAGGATGCCACCAGAATCCTTCAATAAGAACATTTGTATGAGACCATATATTCCCAAACATCAGCTGGGACAAAGTAACGACTTTGCATTGCAGACTCTAAGTTTTACCACCTCTGTCTGTCTGCAACGTTACTGACAGGCTACATTCAACTCACCATTCTCACCCAGGATACTGATACCAAACATTCGCAGGATGTTGGGCGACTCAAATCTCTTCATGGTGTCGACTTCTTTGTTGAAAATGGACTGCACCTTTCTGCAAATGGTAAAAAAAAACCCTTTATGGTGTCAATGAATACATACCGATGTAAATACACGTAAACAGTATTCTAATGTTTGAGCTCAAATTTAAGTTTAGTTTAAACTCCTTCATATCAAATTATTCTTTAATCCTTGTTTCTAGGAGACAGATTTCTCTTCTAGCCAATGTTTTAATGTATTTCTGAATAAACAAAGTCTGCAAATGAATTTAAGTTCATTGGTGGCTTCTGACTATATAGAACTGCTTATTTTATGTAAAAAAAAAAAAATCATTTTTTTTCTCAGTATGCAGCTGAACTGTGGCACAGACCCTAGGTTGGTGTTCACAGGGTCGATATATCTCTTGATGGCAACTGTGAATCCACGATATTCTCCTTTGTAGACCTCTGAGGTTGCTGTTTCCATGAAGGGCTTTTTGGGATGTTTGTACTTTAGCTCCTGTGGTTTAATCATTCGGATGTCCACACTAGTGATGCTGGGCTTATTCACTGTAAAAAGAAGAAAAAAAACTTGTCAGTAAATTATATAAATAATACATTTTTTAAAATTTATGTAGCACCTTTCTAGACAGATTCACAAAGTGCTACACATAACAAATAATAAAAAGGTAAAACAGACAATATAAAACAGGCAAAAAAACCAAAACATAAACCATTCACAGTTCAGCAGTTTGTTTATTTTGTTTGTTTTGTTTGCCCAAATTCATGGTGGTATGAGCCTTTTGGGAGTTTCCTCCAGTGATTAAAAATCCAGATTCCCAGTCGTTGTTTTTGTTTCTCTGCATCACAGACATTAAACTGCTGCAGTTTAGTCAGACACTGATAGAGCCCAATGGCCAAAGTTAGTTATGGAAAAATTGTCCTGAATACAGGACAAGTTGTTAATTTGTGACATGGATGTGAAGTTTTTAATCACTCTTTTTAAAAGAGCTTAAATGGCTTTTTCATCTGAATATTTAATTTACTTATGAAGTAAATTAAATACTTCATAAGTATTCGTATTACTAGGAGTAAGGTGAACGGCAACTGCAAGATATTATATCGCAGATCTACATTCGGTCAGTCAGCTTTTTCTATAAAGGCTCGCCATCTGTGGAGCACACTTCCAACCGATATCAAATTGATTACAGACATTAGATCTTTTACATTGAAGGTTAACGTGTGGTTAAAGGGAAATCAAAGATGTAGTCATTTTAACTAATGATTTTAATTTCATTTAAAATTATTGTCGAGTAACTGTAATTGTATTTATGATGTAATTTGGTTTTATGAAAATGTATGTTTTATTGTAAAATGTATCTATTTAGATTGTAAGCCCAACAAGGGACAATTGTTGAAAATTAGCAGTAGCTATAAACCTGTGCGGCACATCAGTTTCATGGCTTGCACTTGAACTATGTTAAACTGCGCTGTCCCTTTTAAATAAATAAATTCACGTTACCCTATGAGGCTGACCCATCCCTATATACTCTAAGGGTCTGTAGATGAGAAATTCATCTGATTTTGACGGGGTCAGGTGGGCCTTTGTTTTTTCAGATTTAGTTGTTTCTATCCGTAATGAAACTCTATATGTGCTGCACTCACACATCTCCACGACTTTTTCCACGTTGACTTTAAGATGCTCAAACTGTTTCAGCATGGTGTTGGTTTTCTCTTGCTGATCCTTCATGTAGTCCAGGAGCACTGAAGAGCAAACAGAGAAAGCCATACTCTGATTCCCCATCCAAACTCTAGGATCTAATTTGACAACATTACTGATATTGTTACTCCTGCTTTACCTCAAATATTGTGAAAATGTTTTTTCTTGAAAGAAAAAAACAACTTCCTGTTCTCAACATTTTATCTGTGTCTTTGTTGAAAAATGTCTTTCAGGCTAGTGGTCCCTGAGTGCTCACTATAATTAGCACCTCACTGCTCTCTGGCCAAATCCCTCCTTATTTTAAGAATGCTGTCATCCACAGATAAAAAAAAAACCCAAAACAAACAAGCTTGGTCCTTCACTTCTTGGCAGATAAAGACCAATCTCAAAATTACAGTTTATTGCTAAGATTTTATAAAAAGGCTGTAGCTAAGCAGCTTACAGCCGTTTTGGACAAATGCAGTATAACTGACACATGCCAATTTGAATTATAACCATCTAAAAGGCTCAACTTTGTTCATATAAGTTCTTCTTTACACAGTAAGGTTAATTATAGATGACCTCTAATTTGTTGCCTCTGATTCCAGATAAAACTGAGGTTATTTTACTCGGCCCAGAAAGTCTTAGAAATATGGTATCTAAGCAGATTCTTGCTCTGGATGGCATTACCTTGGCCTCCAGTAACACTGTGAGGAACCTTGGAGTCATTTTTGACCAGGACATGTCCTTCAATGCACATATTAAACAAACATGTAAGACTGCTTTCTTCCATTTGCGCAACATCTCTAAAATGAGAAATATCCTGTCTCAGAGTGACGCTGAAAAACTAGTTCATGCATTTATCACTTCCAGGCTGGACTTTTTAGTCCTGACAGGGACTAGAAAGAGAGAGCAGATTTCCCCTTCATTGGCTCCCTGTTAAATCCAGAATTCAAAATCCTGCTCCTCACTTACAAGGTCTTAAATAATCAGGCCCCATCATATCTTAATGACCTTGTAGTACCATATCACGCTATTAGAGCACTTCGCTCTCACACTGCAGGCCTACTTGTTGTTCCTAGAGTATTTAAAAGTAGAATGGGAGGCAGAGCCTTCAGTTTTCAGGCCCCTCTTCTGTGGAACCAGCTTCCAGTTTGGATTCGGGAGACAGACACTATCTCTACTTTTAAGATTAGGCTTAAAACTTTCCTTTTTGCTAAAGCATATAGTTAGGGCTGGACCAGGTGACCCTGAATCCTCCCTTAGTTATGCTGCAATAGGTGTGGACTGCTGGGAGATTCCCATGATGCATTGAGTGTTTCTTCTTCAGTCACTTTTTTTCACTCACTAAATGTTTATACACCTCTCTGCATTTAATTATTAGTAATTATAAATCCCCAGCTCTCTTTATAAATCTTTGGTTCACTCTTGTTTATATCATGTAAGAAATATTGCAATGTTAAGTCCCATTATATCACTCTAGAATGGGGAAATGTTAGTAATGCACTTATTTCATCACGTTTGGATTATTGTAATTCACTGTTTACTTGTCTAAGCAAAAGCTCCCTGGATTGTCTGCAGGTTGTTCAGATCTCTGCTGAAAGGCTTCTGACCAAATCTGTTGCTGCTCCAGCTGCACTGGCTCCCAATTCACTCAAGAACTCATTTTAAGATTGTGGGTCTGACTTTCAGTCCTCTTCATAGACACACACTTGTTAGCTGTAAACAAAATTAGGAAACTTTCTGGTAAAGATCCTGCTCTCTTGGTCCACTTATCCCTGCATAACAATGGACAAGTATCACATTTGAGACCAAGTAGTTAATTGTTTCTGCTCAAATCTCTCTACAAAAGCAAATCCATAATCAGTTTCCCCTCACGTGTCTTCAGTTCTGCGTCGTCCTCCCTCCCATCCAACTGATCTTCTTTCTCTCTGGTCGTCTGTTTAAATACCTCATACAGCATGTTCCCCTGCTCCACCTGCAAAGCTCCAGACAGCACCTGGAAGGCATCGTTGAGCCGTTCGTTCACACTGTTGAACTCGTCTCCATGGTTGCTGGAGTTTAGGATGCGCTCCACCAAATTGGCTGAGGCATATTTTCTGATAAGTTCCTGTGCTGATTGAAGAGTGACGGACAGTTCTCTCAGAGGTTTCTCTACCCCTGGAGGCGTCCGTTTGATGGACTTCACCAGCTTCTCCAAGGCTTTGACTCGGTTACAAACACGTCGGCAGCGCTTTTTATTGGCCTTCACATTCTCAACCAGGTCATAGATCTGTGAGGCGATGGACAGGATGGGATCTACAAAGTCCATGACAAGCTAAAGAGACAGAGAGGATGGACAGTTTATACAGAATAAACTGAAACTGAAAAAAAAATCTGAGTACAATATTATTTATTTTGAATGAGTTGAAGTAACAAGAAAAAATCAAACAAGTCTAACTTCGATCTAGAATCATAGCTCTTTTCCTTAAGCATTAGTATCGTTTTTGTAGAGAAATGTGATGCATCGATTTCCAGAGTCTGGAATGAATTAAAACTAAATTGAAATGAAGAAACCAACCATCATTTTAAAAATGGCTAATGAAAACTATTGAAGAGCTGAAATAATTTAGACTTTTTCAGACTTAACCACAGACGCGCCTGTAAATATAGTCCCTCTGGATTTCTCTAACTTCTCTGTTTTGACCGCTCTTACACAATACCCAATGATTTTTGTTTACCTGAACCGTGATGTTTATTCTTAAACTGATCCAGTCTCAAACAGAAATCTGAAAGTAACAGGTGTCCAACACTTTGATGTACTCCCCCCTCATTCTTCCTCTGTGAAAGAGTTAAAACTGTGCTGCAGCAGACACTCAGAGAAGATTTCCCTCAAATTCTCACTGAGGGTTCAGTTTAAACAAAATCAAAGAACAAGAAAAAACGACCCTGGAGTACGCACACATCCTGACGTACACACAACAGAATCACTACACAGCAGGAAGTGCAGCTTTTCTGTAAATGTTTAAACTTGTTTCTTCACAGAGTCATCAAATGGGAAAAGACCTGCTGTGAGAGCAAGATAAGAAGAAAGCAGAAAGCTAGTTTACCTGTCTTCCTGTCTTTGTGCAGGTGTGTGCCGAGTTTAAATGCTATAAGAAAATGAAACCGCCTCTATCGCCTTGAACTGTGGCACTGCTCCTCGTTGCTTCCTGTTTCTGTCTGACAGATAAACACGCCTTTCCTGGTCCCCTGTGCTCCTCTGACAGGCCTGGATTACTCTGCTTTATCCTGGAAGCAGAAGTAGAAATCACTGTGGGGGATGGAGGCTTCCTGATTAATAATGATTTCAGTCTCTCAGCAAGTGTAGCAAAAGTGGTCAGCTGTGTTTTAGCCACACACTAAAACAATAAAAGGTCTGTGTCTGTACAAGTATTTCCTTTAAGCTAAATACCGAGGCTTCAGACTGCTCTAAGCACTCAATTTAATATTTAATTTCACATAAAATTAATATGGATTCTAACTGTCTCTTTGTCTCATACACACGCAGACACACCAAGAAAAGGATTTCCATTGAAAGTTTGGCAGTTATTTAGAAAGTCCCTATTGTTTCTGGACACCATCTACGATAGCGAGCAGCTGATACATGTTATGTTTGGTCACACAGGAGGAGGAGACCCCAGAAATGTCCTCAGAAGAGCTACTTTTTAATTTTCTGTACTTACATTACAGAACCTGTACTAAAATTAAAGGATCTGTTTAACACAAGTGTACGTAAGTGCTGGATCGTTTTCATTTAATATCTCAGTGAATTTAAATACGGTCTAAGATATTAGGATACTTAAACACAGACGAATGGTGGTATATTTTAAATGTGTAACACTGACATTTATCATGTTGTGAATGTGTGTGTGAATGGGTGAATGACTGAATGTAGTGTAAAGCGCTTTGGGGTCCTATGGACTAGAAAAGCGCTATACAAATGCAGGCCATTTACCATTTACCATGTTCCGTTTCCGCACTGTGTCTTTATTTGATTATCAGTCTGTTTTACTTCACTTTAGCAACGTTTTTCTCCTTTAAACATAAACCCAAATCTTTGCCTCCTCACTAAATAAAGCATAATAAACTGTTTTTGTTTTACTGTATGAAACAAAGCACATCCTTAATAAACAAACTAGCCTGACTCAGATTTGGCCCATGTAGAGATTTCATCTTTTCCTTTTTCTTCTGAACAACACTGTCATGGCTACCGGACGGACTCGACAGAGTTCTTTGCAAACAAAAGAAGACAGTTTATTTACAACGGGGAACATCTCAGTGCTATAGATATGTACAGTTAGTTGGGTGGGGGTCCAGGGCTCCAGGGAGAGGGGGGAATCAACATACACGCTTTCTCTTCAGCACAATGACCGCCGCAGCTCCTCCGCACAAACGCCACAGCACACCGGAAACTCAGGAAAGGACCGTAACCTGGTCAGGAAGGGGGGGTTCAGGGTAATTAAATCAATGCTATTTAATCATTAAATAGCAACTGAGAGAATCAGCCAGATCCAGCAACAGGTGGTGACAATCACACAGGTGCGTGGGCCAAGAGCAAGAGCCTGTAACGAGCTCCGCCCAGGCAGACAGGAGCGAGGGAGAGAGAGAGAGAGAAAAAACCTGTCGCCAGCTTGAGCCAGCCAGAGAGACACGGGGACCATGACAAGCATACTTTGGGGAATTTTCAAAGAGCACTGAAGTTTGTTGAAAATATCAGACTACATTGAATTACACTGACACACACACATGAACATAAATTTACTTTGTCACTATTTACTAATCTATTTGTATATTTAACCCCCGCTTAAAAGTGCTTTACTCCAAACATTGTGTTGCTCATGGATTTTTGTATAAGTAGATGGGTTCTTTGGCCAACTGAATGACCATGAACCTAAAAGTATTTCATGTATTTAATTGTAAACATTGTTTTGTCTTTGTTGCTGTTGTGTCATTTTTCCTTTCACATATTTTCCTATAAAAGCAACGCGGTGGTGATGTCAGGAGGATTGGTTATCCACAGGAACACCACACACTTGACCATCAGTTGATCAAAAGGAAGAAGACGTTCAATGAACGCAAAGGTGTGCCAAAGACTCACAGGATTTATCTGTACAGTGAACTTGAGATGACCACCAACACTGGCATACACATTCACAGTGTGTATCAGTGTTGTTGAAGTGTGAAGATGTGGTTCAAGGGTCAATATTTACCAATAATGTTAGGATGCCTGGGTCGTTGACCCAGGGTTTTTGAGTTTATTATATTATTTATACTTTCTAGTCTTTGGTTTCTTTGAGTTCCGTCTTATGGCTTATGTCTCTGTCTTCTTTAGTTGCTCTGTCTCCCCTATCACCTGCATCCCCTTGTCTAGTTCGCGTCTCTGTGTATCCTTAGTTCCTATATCCCCGTGTTCAGTCAGTGTTTGTGTCTGCCCTGGTCCCACGTCTCTGTTCCCTCTGTAGTGCCTGCATGTGAGTCTATGTTATGTGTTTCCTGTTTTACTTTGAAGGTCTCTGTCTTAGTGTGTTCAGTTTACGCTTCCTTTTGTCTCGTCAGTTCTGATTTGCCCCAGCTGTATTTCCCTCCTGTTATTCATTCCCTGATTACTCCCTCTGTGTATTTAAGCCCTGTGTTTCTCTGTGTCCGTGTCGCGATCTACCGTTTTCCTAGCTGTGTGTTCTGTCATTCCTCCGGTGTAAGTTTATTTTGATTTTTCCAGTTATGTTATATTTGAGTTTAACATTAAAGTTGTTTTGAGTTCACATCTGTCTCCGGAGTCTGCACCTTGGGTCCTATTCCTGCCTGCACACAGCCACACCTAACAGAAGATCGCGACCATACTATGGACCCAGCAGACTCCGTGTGGTACCAGCGACCCGCAGTTTCTGCCTTCCTCAAGGAGATCGTGAGGGAGGAAGCTGAGCATGCCCAGGAGCTCCAGTCACCCTTCTATGGGTCACGTTTGGCTTTGGGAGGGCCCCGCAGCCTCCAAACTGCCATGGCTACGGCCGAGCCAGCGTCTATGCCTCGGGCGATCAGGTTGAGCACGTGCTCCTTCTCTCCAGTCGCTACACCTCCGCCTTCACCCCTGGATTACCAGTCCGACAAGAGAGTTAAGCGGCGGAGGAAGAGAGGTTATGTGACACTGGACATTAGACTCACTCTACTGCAGTCCTTCGCTCTGTTTTTGGGTCTGCCACGTTCTGAGCTTCACAAACTCTCTGCTTCCTCATCGCAGCCCGGTCCTTTGGGGGATTCGCAGCCCAGTTCGCCACCTCCCACTTCCCGGAGGAGGCGACGCTCACACCGTCACCACTCTTTTTCTGCGGAGCAACTCCCGGTGGTGAGTTGTGATTGCTGTCGTTCCTCGGAGCTGGAAAAAAACAATCATATGAACACTGCTAAGACTGAGACTATTAAGACTGTTAGACGTGGTGGTGGTGGTAGGAAGTTAAAAAACGTTTTAGAAGAGTCTGTGTTTGCTGAGCCTGCTCCTTCGCACCATTGTGTTCCTGCTCCCAGGGCAGCTCAGGCCCAGCATTCCCCTGAACCTGTTTCAGTGCTTCAGGTGAGGGAGGCTGAGGTCCGGCTGGTCCCTGCTCAGGTGTCTAGGCTGGCTGAGCCTCTGCCTGTCGCTGCACCCGTACCTTCTCCTCGGGTGGGAGTGGCTGGTGTCCGGCAGGTACTTGCACCTGTTTCTGACCTGGCTGGAGGCTCAGGTGAGCCCGTCCAGCAGTTTTCTGTAGGATCCGTAGGCTCAGACAACCTAGTCCAACCATCTGCTAATCCACCGACTCACCCGCCATTACTGCCTTCGTTACAACAGTCAATACAACTTAAACTTCTCTCCATAGCTCGGACATTAGCTCACCTATCAGCTGAGTCACCTGCTCAGTTTCTGCCTCAGTTGTTTGCTCAGCCGTCTGTCTCCGCTGGAGGGTCCGAGGAATCGCTTCAGCCGTCTCTTCCTGCTGGAGGGTCCGAGGGGCCCGTTCAGCCGTCTCTTCCTGCTGGAGGGTCCGAGGGGCCCGTTCAGCCGTCTGTCTCCGCTGGAGGGTCCGAGGGGGCCGTTCAGCCACCACCGGCTCCACCGCCTGGTCCGGGCTCCGAGTCTGCAGCTCCGCCTGGTCCGGCCTCTGCAGCTCCGCCTGGTCCGGCCTCTGCAGCTCCGCCTGGTCCGAAATCAGCCTCAGCCTCTGTTCCTGCTTCTGCAGCTCCGCCTGGTCCGAAATCAGCCTCAGCCTCTGTTCCTGCTTCTGCAGCTCCGCCTGGTCCGAAATCAGCCTCAGCCTCTGTTCCTGCTTCTGCAGCTCCGCCTGGTCCGAAATCAGCCTCAGCCTCTGTTCCTGCTTCTGCAGCTCCGCCTGGTCCGAAATCAGCCTCAGCCTCTGTTCCTGCTTCGCCTCCGCCTGGACCAGCTTCGGCCTCAGCCTGTGCTACGCCTGGTCCAGCTTCGGCTTCTGCTTCGCCTGGTCCGGCCTCAGCCTCTGCAGCTCCGCCTGGTCCAGTCTCCGAGTGTTCAGCTTCGTCTGCTCCTGAGGTCTCCATGCTGTCTGTTCCTGCCCGGCCTGCGCGTCCTGCCCGGCCTGCACGTTCTGTCCGGCCAATGACTGGACGTCGTTGCCGTCATGGACAGCCCCCTGGACTACGCCGCCACCGGTGCCTTCTGCCCGGCCGGCCTCCTGAACTGTTTTCTGGGCTCTTGGACCATCAGCCTCCGGGCCGCCCCCCTGACCTACCCGGGTTTGGACTGTTGTGCCGTCAGCCTCTGGGCCGGCCCCCTGAACTTTTTTGAGACTATTGCCTGGGCCTCTGCGCCTTTCGTGAGCTCTTTTGTTTGTTTGCTTTTGGACTTTGACTGGGCCTTGGTGCTGTTGTTTTGGACTTTGTTTCTGTGTTTTGTTCTGTTGCTTTCCGGGCTCCAGTGTTTTGCACTTTTTTTTGTTTTGTTGTTTCTGGCTCCTTGTTTTGTTTCTAGCCCTCCATCCTGTTTCCCCCGCCGCCCACCCTGGTTGGGTTGTTTTTGGTTTTTTTGATTTTGATGTTTTGGTTTGGGCTGTCTGGAAGCCAGCCCTTAAGGGGGGGGGGGGGGGTACTCCTCTGTAATCCAAAGTACATGTACCAGCTCTGCCAGCATTCTTCAAAATGTGTTTGTTTCCATAAATGCTAACATTCATTTGAACAAAACGCATTCTAAATGCGTCTGACGCATTTGCTAAGCTCCACCCCCAGCTACTGTTGAGCAGCAATAATAATAATAATAATAATAATAATAATAATAATATTATCCTGGTTTCTATATTTCTCGATGTAGCACAGTGTCTTGTTAATTTATTAGGTTGAGTCATTTAAAAGAACATGTCACAAACTTGTATTGATTCACAAATACATCACCTAATCATATGTGATAAGTTGGGACTAAATTTAAGTTGCGTAATGGTCAAGCAACTTGATAGCACAGTGTAACTGCGCGAAATTTAGGGCTACAAAATCCCGTTTTGTCATCTAAAGCTATAGCCTACTATTGTCACAAGGGGGCGCTTTAATGCAGTCTTGCGTCTCGTGCGCAGGAAGCAGTGTCTGTCTCTTCCTGTGAGAGTTTCCCTCAAATTACGGTCAAGTGTGTGTGTGTGAGCACGGGCAGAAAATATCTCGGTATGCGGTGCTGCAAACCAGTTAATGAGACCAAATTATTTTTACATATCAATGCTATTAAACTGCTGTTTTATTAGGCCCCGAACTCTGACCAATAAGGGAATAACATCAGTCGAGTTATTTGTGTTGGAAATTCCCGGTGAGTCAAATCCTTCCGTTAGCTTCCTGTTAAGCTTATTTTACTAACCGATTAAGCTCAGAAACCTTTGGAAAACAAACAATCGGGAGCTTTGTGTCGTTTTATTTGTCTCGTTGTTTATACAGTGTGGTGTAAGTGTTGAACGTTTTAAGCTACTGATGTTACTGCCGATGCTAGGTGTGATGCTAGCTGCTATTTGCCCCCCAAGCCATATCACAATCAGGGAGGTATTCAACTATAAGTACTTGCTCTGTCTGTATTAAAATGGTTCAGTTTTAATAGAAACAGCACATTTCAAGTGTTTGTACTGTAAATTAAGTTGCATTTGCTTGTTAAGATGTAAGATTGATAAATGTCACTTTCATTGTAAACAGTGGTTATTACTGTTTAAGCTGCTTATGTTCTTTACTGTGACATAATTGTGATAAAATAATTTGTGACTGTAACTGTGGTTACTTGTTAAAGCTAAAAGAAATACCATTTGTTATTAATACATTTGGAATCCAAGTAGATTCTTAAGTATGTGGATAATATTTGATAATATCCTTTTGGAGGAAAAGAGGTTAATGAGCACAAAATGCAATGGAAATTCATTGGTGTGCACTATTTGTGTTGATTGTATTTTGAACTGCTAGAGAGGATTCTGGAGAACCACTGAGCCCAGTCCAAAAGAGATCCTGGATGTTGGTGAAATGGTGTGACCAGCCATGTGATCGGATTATGGGGATTGCCTGAAGAACTGATTCAAGCCCTACCTTGAATTTCAGATAAGCCGATGCACTGTTAGTCCTTCCTGGGCAGTAGGTAATAGGTTCTGCACAGGGACATTTCCCTTACAGTACACCTGTTTGGGTTTCAACAAACTTTAAAGGACAATTCAGTCAGTCTTTTTGTTTCAGTGTCTTATTTTATTTTGTTTTGATTTCCATCTATTCACCCTTAAAAAGCACTATTAGTGTGCAATTTGGTTGACTGTGATTGTATGTGTTTATGAGTTGTACTGAGGCAATGAAGGTGCCAGTTGTTCATTTTCAAGCCAGCTCCTTTTGTGAGTCCCAAATCAAAACCTCTTTCTGAACCTAGTTAGATGTCGAGGGTCTCTATTTGAATTGATATTAAACTGGTCCTGAGTAGAGGCGCCACAATAGCAGGTCCCTGAGGAGAGGACTGCCTTCATGATTGGCTAGTTGTAGGTAACAGCAGCAGATTCCCCAGATGCTCTTTAGAGTCTGCTGACAATTCAGTGCAAATCTGTGAGCGAGTATCTCAGGCATGACACTTAACTCTGAACATCTAAAAGTGTTTTACACAGAAAAATGCAGACATATTTTAGAAAACAGTGGAAGGATATGGCTTCCTCAATCAATATGCAGTAAAATAAAAGTTTCTAATTTTGTCAGTCGCATTGTTTAATGTCCAAATCAGACTGCAGGTGAAGTGTTTGTGCCTTCATAGATCGACCTTGATCTGTAAATTGATTGTGATGTAAAAGTCAGTAGATGTAATAAATGTGGAAAACCTTTCCTGTTATTTTCCTTAAGACATCTTGGGCTGCTCATCTTTTTGTGAATGTGTTGCTCATTAAATGTGGTTGGTTTAACAAATAATTAAATATTATGTTAATATTTACAATAAAAAGGCTCATATTTTTACTTCATATTCAGTTCTACTCACTGTCACAATTCTGCTAGGTTGCTAAAGTACTCAAAGTTTTCCCAAGTATTATGCTGATGATATTTATAAAGTATAAAATAATAAAGATAAATATAATAATCATGAAAAACTTTTACTTAATTAGAATTTTAAATGTCAGCTTCTTACTTGTAATGTATTATCTTAATGTCATATTAATAATTTTACTGAAGTAACTATATTCTCCTGTCATCTTATTAAGAATGTGCAGTCATGCAGGAATAAACAACAAGGTTGTTGTGTGCTGGGAAAGTACAGCTGGAGTGGTGACGGAAACTGCCAAGAAGGTGTTTGTTGTATTCTCTGGACAGAGGAGAGAAGGCAAGGAAACTTGGTGGTGGAAGTAAAGTATTTAAAGGAAGAGGCTGAAAAAGAAGGAAGTAGACAGCACTACTGGGAGACTTGGCAATGAGAGTGATGGCAAAGGAAAATCCTTATAGTGAATGTGATGTGCATGTGAGGTTGGACAGTAAGGAAGGACATGCATCAACCGGCTATGCAGAAAGCCTGAGTCTGAATGGATGTGCAACAGATTAGAGTCATTAAATACAGAGATATGCTAACTGTTCACTTAGTATATTTGTTCAGTTAGTATATAGTGTTGGAAAGAGTACTTTGTCTTTTTACAAAAAAACAGCTAAACATGAGAGGTTTTTGGACAAAGTTTGTGTTCTCTATTCTTTAAGCACCGGTTCGAGCACCATTTAAGCACCGGCACCGTTTCAAAAGTACCGGTTTGGTACTGGTATCGGATAAAACCTAAACGATACCCATCCCTAGTGACACCGTCTTGTTTGTTTGATTTGATTTTATTGATTAGCATTCAAATATCTCAGTGAAGACAGAACAAAGATCTACCGCAAAGCAAGAAAGCATGAGACAAGGCTAATCAAAAGGTATTGGCTGAAGCATTTGCTTATTACGCCAACCCTTTTAACAAAAGATCTTTTTGCATGGAGCTCCTGTACACAGGGCTCGAAGCAAATAATAAATCAAAGCAAAAACAAACAAGAAAAACAAAAAACTTTCCACCTTAGTTAAGTAACTACATCAAAGCAAAAGAATCAAGAGTTGTTGTTTTTTTGGGGGGTTTTTTTTTGGTTTTTTTGCTCTTTTCATTCTTGATTTATATATTTTTCTATTACTCTATTTTTAAACATATTTTTAAACAAGGAAAATGAATTACACCTTTTTAAATCGCTGTCATAACTATTCCACAGGTTAACTCCTCTAACAGAAACACATCTCTGCTTTATATTTGTCCTTATCTTGTTTTTTAAAAAGAAATCTGTTCCCCTTAAGTCATATTGACTCTCTCTGACTTTGAACAGCTTCTGAGTACTCGGGCAAAGCAAGTTATTTTGTGCTTTATACATTATCTGTGCCATTTTATATTCAACTAAATCATAAAATTTCAGGGTATTCAGATTAATAAACAAAATGTTAGTTGGTTCTATATAGTTTGATTGGTTTATAATTCTTATAGCTCTTTTTTGTAACTTGAAAATAGGAAGAGTGTTCGTTTTATATGCATTAGCCCATTACCTTCTGTGTTATACATTTCATTATGTTCTTTGTGCTAACTGTTCTGACCTGTTTCCCCATTGTGATGTTTGTGTATTATATGTATAAAGAGATCTAATTTTGCTGGCAGGCAACTGCAATAAATTCTTCAATCCATCAATCAATTAAAGAAAAAGAAAACTATATTTTATTACTTAATTTGCTTAAGTGATATCAGCAAAATCTGCTTTTCTGATATGGAAAGTGAAACTAGTTTTCTTCACCTGCGTTTGTGATGGACACTAAGCTCCCTTGAAGACATGATCTGCAGGCCTCGCAGGCCCATTTCATGCAGGGACATGAAGAGTTATTTGTTGGTCATAGGGCAGTTTTTGGGAGATACCCTCTTGGTGTCTGATGTGAGACTGTCTGTGTCTGATTGTTAGAGCTATATGTGCATTAGGAGGGGGTAATCAGGAGGGGCTGTTTAAATATAGATTACATCGATAAACTTGGAACATTTAAATGTTGAACTAGTATAAAACTAAGCAGGATACGTCACAGTGCTGCATGCACATTTGTACCTTTAAACTCTTTACAGTGAGTTTGTTTTCCGAAAAGAATGCCTTCACGGAAATGATATTTACCTTCGAGCCTAGAAATACCACCCATTTCTCCTAAATGCAAGCATACAGGAAGCATTCATGTTGGGAAATGTCAAAGAGTTTTAAATGACAAGATTGATTTATGAAAATGACAAGTATATGCATAATTATGCCGTCTGTCTTGTCAGAGTCAAATGTGGTGTAAAGACAAAAACATCCATAGTTTTCTTCATTATTCAGGATATATTACACCAGACACATCAAGCATTTCACTGACAGTTTGGTTCACGTAAAGTTCTCAACAGATAATCAAAAAGAGTATTAACTTTAATAACAAATGTTGAAGCAAAAATAATGTATTCTAGCATCCAGTTCACAACAACCTGTAACTCGCTACTGCAGGTGAGGCAATTCAACAAAACAGGTCGACTTACTGTGCAGGAAGTTTCATTTTAAAAAACTGGTTTGGTCATGTCGTTACCTCTGTCATTAATTTCATTCTTCATGAAACCATGAAACTGGCTGCACATAAAGAAACAGCCTTTTGAGCTGTAGCTGTTTTCTGTAGCCTCCATTCTCTGCTTCTTACTCTGTATTTCTGCTGCTGTCTTTCTGCCACCCTGTTAGCATTTTAACCACTTATGTTGCTGTTATTTTCAGAAGTGACCTTAATTGGATGAGAGGTGAGAGGATGTTCAGCTGAAGTGTTCAGATAAAACAGACAGCTTGAAGCTTTTGAGAACGATATGGAGATTTCTTGATTTATTATAGACTCACCAGCAAAACAAGTTGTAAACTACATAAAAATAATAAAGCAAAATATATCTAATGGCAAAACAAATGCATCAGAAAAGAAGAGAAGCTACTTCCATCCACTCACTTATTTACAGCGGGTAGCTCCACATATTTGGTTTGGCAGATTTTTGGCAGCAGATGCCATATGTGACAACGGGGTTTATAATCCTCCCAGGCTTTAATAACGAGTCCTTTGCTTGTCTGGCAAACCTGCAAACTATCCTATGGAGCCACCAGAATAAATGCAACAGAAAAACAAACACTACAAATGTAACAAACATTATTATCAAAAAGAAACTATTGTTAATAGTGAAAAATTTAAAACAAAGAGGGTAGGATGTCACCAGTTGGTGAAACCCAGTCACCAAGCATAACTATGCTACACGCTGAAGACCTTCCAGGAGAGACTACAGAAGTGATTTTTTTTTTCTCCAAAATCCAAGAAGATATTTTCCCCAAAAAGTCAGTAATCTTTGTTTATTATGAAGTTGCTACTAGTCTTCCTGAATATCTCAAAATACATCATAAAAATACACAAGGTCATATAAAATAATCTTATTAAGCTGTAACCATAGACTGTATATAAACGATGGATGTGGACACCATGATGTCAGCTAGAGCCTCAGTGATTGTATTTGGGCTGCTTGTATATTTGTTTTTTGCAGTCAGATGTGACCACTGGATGATCCAGTGAATGAGAGGGTGGAGGGCACAATAATCACCTCATGCTAGCTAGCTTAATTAGCAAGCTGTGTCCAAAGAGCGTGCAGGTTTTCTGTCATATATCCTGTTCCAATGGTGGATGTTCATTTCAAACATGTCCAAACTTTCAAATGTTGATCTGGGTATGTACAAGTAATCCCTGTAAGTCCAAAGCTCAATTAAACACTCAGTTTCACACAGTTTTTTTTCTATTCTTTGCTGCATAGGATACCAGTGAGAGAGAATAACCATAATATAAAAAACATAATATGTTCATGTCAGGCACAGAAGCCCCGGCTGCCAGCTACACAAACTTTGTGTTCACAAGGGCAGCCAACCAGGAAACGTGGTTGATGTGAAGATGAGCAAGATGGTCCTAAGTTGAGCCTGACTCCACTCTTGAAAGCAGTATCTTAACTGTATTCAATGTAAGCAAATTCCATTAGCAAAACGTTTGTCTTGTTTTAATGTAAAAAAGCATTCTTGACCACATAAGCTGACACAATGGGCATGTTTTGGGCTGGAAGAGTGATTGGAGCAAGAGTTCTGATGCCAGTGACTGACCCCTGAGAAATGGCTTGCATGACAGGTCTGGAGGCTATGTTGTTGGTGACGATAAAGCGGGATGTTGTAGTATTGTAGACAGGCTGTCTCACATAAGGTGTAGGCACCGACATAGGGGACATAACGTAGGTGACAGGCATGGCAGCTGTAGGGTTAGACATTGGTATGGATGAAAATATAGGACCTGTAGGGCTAGAAATAGGTGTAGGAGGAAGCTGAGGATGTTGGGGATGTGACACTGGAGCAGGCTGAAACATAGGAACTGAAGGACTTGACATCGGGGCAAAGGGAAGCATAGGAACTGTAGGACTTGACACTTGTGCAGGCTGAGGCATAGGAACTGTAGGACTTGACACTTGTGCAGGCTGAGGCATAGGAACTGTAGGACTTGACATCGGGGCAAAGGGAAGCATAGGAACTGTAGGACTTGACACCAGGGCAGGGGGAAACATAGGGGTTGTGAGACTAGTATTAGCCATCATACTGCAAACCTCTTCCTCAGTACTTTGTTTTGAAACAGCTTCATACACCTTTTGCAGCATGGTGGTGTGCTCAATCTGCAGAGCACCAGAAAGGACCTGGAAGTTCTCTGTGAGCCTTTGGTTCACCTCGCTGAACTTTTCCTCAATGCTGCTAGACTTAAAGAAACCCTTAACAGCCTTGGTTTGAGAGAATTTTGCCATCAGATTCTTGGCAGAGTTCAAGATGACGTAGAGTTCCCTCAGAGCTCCATCGACAGTATCAGAGATTTGGCTTGGATCCCTCTGTCTGATGTTTAAAACCAGTCCTTCAACAGCTTTGACTCTGTCTGCAATCCGACTGCAGTACTCCTTATTGGACTTCATAGTGTCAACCATCTTTTTGATGGTTGTGGTAAGCGACAAGATACCTTCAGCGTAGTCCATGATCAGCTGCACAGAAAGTAAAACAGTTAACGTGATTGTAGTGGTGCTACGGTGAAGTAAACTCAAACAGACTGAGCTAAACTGAGCTGAACCTGAAATTTTCCAAAAGGATAAAGTTTGTATGTGCACACAACAAAAAGGGTTAAAATCTCATTTCAGCACTCATGATAAGCTGGGATGTGCCTATGTTAAGCCAATTAACGCCATAAACCTTCCAGTCAGACGTATTACGGTGTGTTCAGACTGAAAGTGACTGGAAGGATATGTTTTGTTTTTGCCACTGCAACCCTTTCCCCTTTCACCTTCTTGGAAAAATACAATGTGTGAATACAAAATGGGAACTACCAATACAAATAAAAACCTTTTTTTTTTTTAAAGATTTGATTTCTCTTCAAAGTTGTCTCCTTGTGCACCTCCTCCTCCTCCAGAAATCTTTCAGTTGGACGTATGAAGGTGTGTTCAGACTGAATGTGACAGCTTATATGCAAAGTAACTGGAAGGATATGTGACGTTTTCCACTTTTGTCTGGGAAATCCCCCAAATTTCTTAGAAAAATACAATATGTGGTCATGAAGTGGGAAACTGCCTATACAAACAAAAAATCCTACCTTTTTAAAATTTGATTTATCTTCAAGGTTGTCTCCTTGTGCACTTCTGCACTCCTAGTCTGCTGTTTTTAGATCCCTCTGTAGAAGTCCAAGCCCAGAAACCTGGTGGATCATAAGAAGATAAGTTATTTATTTCCTAACCGCCCAGAGCTCATGAGCAAAGGCAAAGGTCAGAGTTGGTCAGAGATGGAAATACTTTTTTTCCAGTTTCAACCACAGCAGTCTTTCATTTATTTATTTTGTATGTGTGATATAGGCCACATCTATGTGGAGATGCCACTCATCTGCTGGACTTGTGGGCCAAAATCACATTTTGAGCCCGCCTGTATTCTTTGAAAAAAATTAGTTCTTCAGGACAAAGTGTACACAACGTTTCAAGTTATGGGGTGGTTTTGGCTCAGGTGGTAGAGCAGATCATATACTGATCGGAAGGTTGGTGGTTCGATCTTTGTCTTCCCAGTCTGCATGTCAAGTATCCTTGGGCAAGATACTAACCCCAAATTGCCCTCCGATGCGTTCATCGGAGTGTGAATGTAGATTAGTTTGCACTTGTGTTTAGAAGTGCTTGAATGGGTGAATGAGGCATGTTGTATAGAGTGCTTTGAGCACTCTGGGAGAGTAGAAAAGCGCTATATAAGAATCAGTCCATTTACCATTCAAGCATTCTCTTTCTCTTTTCCTTTAAAACCAACAGTTGTCACTCCACCCTTCTACTATATTCTCGCTTTAATTATTATGAGGAACTGGTAAGTTATCCAAGGTATTCAAAGCTCAACCCTGAGTCTGGTTTTGGAGGCATTCCTGGCATCGTATTAATTCTCTTTTGGGTGTCTTCATATTTTGTTTCACATGTTTTCTTGTATTTGTTCTCGCAGTTTTTCTTGCTCATCAGTTTAATCATCTGTCCTTGTTTTTTGATAACAACTTCGTTTGTACGCCTCCAATGTTTTTGCTTCCTTCGTCACTGTTCTTTATGATTGTCTGCAATGCTGTATACAGTCTTAACTCTTTCCTTGTCGGCTCTCAGTTCATCAGTTTGCTTTTTTACCTGTTTTGTTTTAGCCATTTGTACTTTGTGCAACTCAGGTGTTTTCATATTAGCCATTGAAAGTTCACTTTTTGTTCTTTAAGCACTTCTGTGTGCTGCATTTGCGCAAACTTTCTGCAAATACTCGACTGCCTTTCGAATACTTTTTAAAGTTCTTGTCTGGCAAATGTGTGTTGAATGTTTTTTTGTTCTCAGATCTCTCTTTAAAGAGATTTTTACCTTCCTGCGGTTGCTTCAGCAAAGTCAGATTATATATTTTTTTGTCATTCTTTGGAGCAAATTGAATTCAACAACTGATGGGATTTTTCCCATCTTATGAACAATCAGCATCACAAGCTTTGATCTCAGACACATCATTTAAGTAGTCTTCACCAGAATCGGTTCTTCGGTCTGTCTGTGAGGACTGCCTTTAAGATAAGGTGGTTTTTTTTAGCATGAAAACCACAACAGCCTCCTGTCAACAGCTTATTTTTCATACTGGGGATAAAACGGTTTTGTTTAGATTAAAAACAGACCCAAACCAGAACCCAAATTTTGAAAAAAGCTAAAACAATAAACCACAGTGTAAGACATCTTATTCCCACAACAACAACATGAGATGTCACAGGAAAATTGGGTGCAGTTTCAGTCATAAATTATATTTTTTACTTTCATTTCAGCAGATTACAGAAGTACGAAACGTTTACTTGCACATCCTTTCATAATTGACCAGCACACCTGTTCTTTGTCTTTAGAATTCAAACAGCACATCTAGAGCTAGAGAGAAATTTCCATCCTGTGCAACAGCATCGTGCATTCAAAAAAAGACTTCAAGGCTTAGTTCAAATGAAAAGTGAAACTATGTTGTGAAAGGTTTGCTGGCCTCATACTGTCAATACGTGATCCATTTTCCCCACTTCATGAGTGGACATAAAGAGAGAATTTGGTGGTAAAAAGACAAACTTCAGAAGACACCTTCTCGATTTGTTTCTGTCTCTGATTGTTTAAGTGGGATTAGGACGGGCCTTTTGGATATAGATGGAAAAACTGAGTCAGTCCTTTAACAGTGTAGAAACTCTACCCGTTTCTTTAAAAAATGCAAGCATTAAGAAAGCATTCATGGCAGGACATGATGAAGAGTTTTAAATTACAAGACTGATTTTATTTTATTTTTTTAATGACAGCTACTCGATTATGCTATTTGCCTTGTCAGGGCCAAGACTGGTGTAAGAGTAAAAGGAATACATTAGCGATTATTGAAGCATTAAAGCTTCAAATCTGTGGAAGAAGATGACACAGTAAATAAAAATGTGAAGAATTTAATGGCAAGTTTTAGAAAATAACAGCTAGAATTGGGACTGTAAAGCTGTATCCACAATCAGATAGTTTAAAACAGGGGTGTCACCTTCAGTTTCACTGGGAAATGAGATTCTCATTGAGGTCCAGGCATGTATGCTTTATTGAAATGCTCCGATTTAATGCAAAATGTGTCTCACGCAGCTTTTTCCTCTCACAGTATTTCCCGTGTAATTCCCTGAAACAGTCAACAAACAGTGAGTCTCTACAGCCTCTGATCTCTGCAAAACTCTGCTTTTTGCTGCTGGGTGTATTAAAACAGAAAAAAAAATAAAGACAAAAATATGTTCCCTGAAAAGAAAAATTGTCTCAAGGCAAATACATACACGTTTCTCTTTGCCCATTATAGTCTCATCTCTCAGTCTGCCTAGTGCACTGCCTCAGTACACCCGGCTAGAACCTGGCAGGCCAAAACTGATTAAAAATGGACAATATTAAAGTTACTGAAGGGCAGGATTTAGCTTCTTTAATAAAAATAAATACAATATAGAATCTAATGACATACAGGAGAAGATTAATACCATGCAGAAGATTAAAGATTGTGTTTGGTTCTTTACCGGTCAGTGTGTGTCATCAGCCTTCCTGCTCAGGTGTTGAGGAAAATGAAGCTCATTTTCATTTTTGCAGGTTTTAAAGTGATGTCTCAAACATTTCTGGCATCTGTGTTATGTCCGTCTACAGCGACAGACTTGACTGTAATAAACCTGTTTATCCTGTAAAAACCAACATGCGTAACCTTGTGTTCAGCATTCACAGGTAACGTGAGCAACAGCACTACTGCAAACAAACACAACTTACCAAAGCAGTATGCAGTAAATAGGTTTTGCACTGACTATGAGGTTGAATCATCTGTATTTAAATAATCTCTGCTGGGAGGATGAATTTTATGTGTGCAAGCTGTTAAGTTTGGGAACAGCTGCCACAAACTGTTTATAAAAGACAGATCATCATCTAGTGGTTTTAGACACTGTATTAGCAGCCACCTTGTTGGTTTTTTGAATTTGGATGGGGCCATATTTACTTGAAAGGAGATCAAAAAGGTGCTCCATAAAGAAAGGAACAGAAAAAGATCTAGTATGACGCTAACATACTTCAGATATCCAAAATACCAAAGTGCATTACTGCATCACTCATCATGTTTTATGATGTTAGGCTGATATACACAGTAGGAAACACAGGGAGACTTCAAAACATGAGGAACAATGTAACACAGGTCAAAGACACACACACACACACACACACACACACACACACACACAATGACAAGACTGGAGGAACAGAATAGGAATATAAAAGGAGATTAACTAAATACTATATAGACGAGACACACAGAGGCCATAGCCAAACATAACCTAAGAAGCAGGACTTGGAAGGCAAAAGACAAACAGAGAGTGGTGGAGGACATAACAAATGACATCAGGATAAATAGAAACAATACAACCTATATTACAAACAAAACGAAGCTTAAACACAAATGATCCTTATAAACAAAAAGAATGACAAACCCACTAAAAAAACAACAACTATACAATGAAAAGAATGGGGAGAGACCAAGGGCACAAATAAACAGCATGGACAGACGGCAGGGGTACACACACACTCACAAAAAAATACACTTTTATGTGTTTGTTACTTTCCAGAGTTGAACCTCGTGCTGACAAAGGCCTGCAAAGTCAACATGCCAGAATTCTGTCAGTCCATCCTTAACAAGGGGACACTTGAAAGTGAGCTGGAGGGTCAGGTCATCCTTGCCTCAAACTTAAATACGAGCCACGGCTGACTTTGCTTTTCCAGAGTCCCACCTCACGTCCAAGTTTTTCACTTGGCAATCAGGACCTGTTTTACTGAGCATTTCTTGTTATGTTTCATCTGTCAGGTGTAGGTTATACGTTTACAGCTAAAAATATTGGAGTTGGGGTTATTCTGCTCATTTCCAGGTCTGTATTTTTATTAGTCGAATCTACTATAGTAGCTTTGCATGGATAAGAGCTCAAGATCAACTTTTTTCTTATACTGGGCCTTGATGCAGCTGCTCAGTCCATCACCTAGCTGAGCTGACATGTTTTAGCTCCTCCCCTCTTTAAAGCAACATTCTCATTGGTTGCCCATTATAAACAGAGGGTTAAATAACTAGTTGGGGGGGGCTTCTGTGCCTGTGGCATTGTGGATATCACTGATACTGTTTCTCTGTGACATCATTAAGATCCCAGAGAAGACAAAAGACAGACAATGAGAGTTTTTTGACCTGAAATTTGACCTTTTGACTTTTGACTGCTGCACATCCGATGTACAGAAGCTCTCCACTTTCACTGTGACGCACACACAAACAGTTTTGAGCACATCAATGATTTATTTAGCTGGTTTGTTCGTCCAGTCACAACATCCTAACGCAGGTTTTCTCTTTCTGTCAGAGCAAACGTGTTTCTGTTCTGTCAGCAGTTTATTTTGAAACTGGAATCAACTGATTTTCATTTGTTCTTGTGTCCAGCAGGAGGCCCCAGAACTGATCTTAGTGTCTAGGTTTTAACTACCACTTGGTTTTGCTAAAGCAAGAAGTCTTTATTGTTACATTTTGGATGATTTAGAAAGGAGAAACATGTGACCTCCATTCCCTCCTTAAAATATTGTCTCAGATTTCAATAGCCCCTCTATACATCATATATACAGTATATGAAAAAAAAAACACATCTTGATTGCTTAGGTTAGAATCCACTGTGGTGGTGTACAGAAGCAAAGATGGTATACAGATGTCCAAATACTTATACTTACTAACTCCACACTATTTAGAAACAATTACAGTTAATATCCAAACTGAGATGTTATAAGATGTGTGCTTTTTGTGAATCACAGAAAGTATATGTTGATTTGCTTTGACTTTTCAGTCAGGCAACATCGGCGTTTCGAGAACATGGTGTGGGTGTACACTGACGTTTTCGACAGCTGTGAATGACACTGAAAGCTCTTAGCCTCATATCATCACTGACACACCTCATTGTTTTTGCATCATTCACTCTCTGCATGTGCAAACAGGATACCTCCCTCATCTTATAGACGTTTCCTGACTCAACTTTCTATTTCTCTGAAGTTCTTATGCGAAAGAAAAAGAAAGTCCTCTCATCCAGCCTTATGTGATTAAGAAAACAGAGCTTCTCCTTATTTCCTAATAATAAAGCATTTTTATTATTTATTCTTTGATCAGTATATAAATGAGAAATCTAGTTTTACTAGAAAAACTGAATGTTCACATGTCTGAATATTGTGTGTGCGCATGATCCAACTTCAACTTTGGTAGATTAGTGGGTGACAGTGTGAATGTGAGAAGATAACTCAAACCATCAAGCTGCATGATTTGAAAGTACGGATATTGATGGTTGAACACAGAACCATAATTCCATAATGGTGTCAGTTCTTTGTATGTGATTTTGCTGATAGTAAATTATGTTTAACACTGATCAGAATATCTCATTAACTTTTTGACAGCCAGCCAGGTGAGAGCAAAAATACACTGAAATACCAACAAGTCACATTCTACTTGGCCAAGATGTGTCTGTTAAACACAGTGAGTACCAAATGTTTCAGGAAAATGGTCACCAAAATATGTGTTATCCGCCATGCAGTGATTTTTCTAAAGTAGTAATACCTGTGATGTTTGCAAAACATTGCAATGAAAATCTCACAGCTGTAAGTGGTGTGCATAACCATCATGCAGGTACACTGAATGGAGTAAAAGATTACATTTAGCTTCTAAGAGATGGACTTAAAGATAACTGTAAAATCACTCCATGTAGAACAGAGTGCTTAATGTATTTAGACAGTATTTTTATTTATTGCAAAACTTTCTGTCGCTATAAACTTGAATGAATGATTGAATATAGGTTTGATTCATTCTGAAGCCTCAGTGTTAGTGTTTTAGCAAACTGGAATGTTGCTGTTATTTTGGCAGCAGAAGTGACTGTAACTGGATGAGAGGTGAGAGGATGGCCAGCTGAATCCATAAAGTCTTCAGATAAAATGCTCAGACAGCTTGAATTTGATTGGATGAACGTACAAATGATTTATTATAGGTTCACCAGCAAAAGAAGTTGTAAATTACTTAAGAATAATAAAGCAAAATATATCAAACTGAAAAGAAATGCAACAGAAAGCAACAGAAGCTACTTGCACTAGTTTCTTACACGAAACAATTTTCCAAGACTGAAGTTACATTCACTATTTCCCAGTCACCAAGCATAACTATTGTACAGGCTGAAGACGTTTCAGGAGAGATTACAGAAGTGATTCCCCCCAATCTAAGAAGATATTTTCCCAAAACAAAGTACTCACAACTCTTTTTATTATTATCTATTAGCTGCTAGCCTTTCTGGATTTTTTAAAATCATAAAATTGCCTTATTAAGTCGTAACCACAGACTGTATATAAAAGATGTAAAGACACACCATGCTGTCACTTAGAGCATCAATATTTGCATTTTAGCTGCTTGTATATTTGTTTTTTTGCAGTCAGATGTGACCACTTATATATCGCGTTTCGATGGTGGATGCTCATTTTAAACTTTTAAACCAAAGTTTCAAATGATGATCTGGGTAAGTACAAGTAATCTCTGTGAGCACAAAGCTCAGCCTTCATGATGCTTCACATGGTGTTTTTTCTATTCTTTGCTGCATGTGACACCAGTGAGAGGGTATAACCCTAATAAGGTCATGTCGGGCAGAAGTCCCAGCCACCAGCTGCACCAACTTTGTTCACAATGGCAGCCAATCAGGAGAAACACAGACAAATACAAATGAGTGATAATGGGTCCGCTTTAAAGATTAAAATGACCAAATAGTCACAAAACTCAGCATAACTGTGTAGCTGACATCGAAAAGAAGGCTTCGCTCATGATGTGGTTGATGTGAACCCATTGCAAGATGGTCCCAAATTGACCTTGACTGCAGTCTTATGTTTAGTTTCATTCTTAACTGTAAACAAGTTTAACAAACTTCCTTAGAAAAACCTTTGTGGGTTTTTTTTAGTTTAACATAGCTTCTTGACCACATGAGCTGGTGGGTTTTGAGCGAACAGTTCTGAAGACAGGCATGGTGTTCGCGTTGTCAGTGACTGACCCCTGGGAAATGGCTTGAATGACAGGGGTGGAGGCTATGTTGTTGTTAACGATAAAGTGAGATGTTGTAGTATTGTAGAGAGGCTGGGCTGCAAAAGGTGCAGACACTGGCATGGAGGGAAGTATAAGATTTGTAGGGCTAGACACTGGTGTGGGAGGAAGCTGAGGATATAGAGACCCTGACAATGGAGCAGGCTGACTCATAGAAGCTGTAGGACTGGACAATGGAGCAGGTGGAAGTATAAAACCTATAGGACTGGGCACTGGAAGAGGCGGAAGCACAGAAGCTGTAGGACTGGACACAGGTGTGGGAGGAAGCTCAGGATATAGCGGGCGTGACACTGGAGAAGGGGGAAATATAGAAGCTGTGGGACTTGACACTGGAGAAGAGGGAAGCATCAGGGGTGTGAGACTAGTATTAGCCATCATACTGCAAACCTCTTCCTCAGTACTTTGTTTTGAAACAGCTTCATACACCTTTTGCAGCATGGTGGTGTGCTCAATCTGCAGAGCACCAGAAAGGACCTGGAAGTTCTCTGTGAGCCTTTGGTTCACCTCGCTGAACTTTTCTTCAATGTTTCCAGCCTTGAAGAAGGTCTTAACAGACTTGGTTTGTGAGAATTTTGCTATCAGATCCTTGGCAGAATTCAAGATGACGTAGAGTTCCCTCAGAGCTCCATCAACAGTATCAGATATTTGGCTTGGATCACTCTGTGTGATGTTTAAAACCAGCCTTTCCACAGCTTTGACTCTTTCTGTAATCCTTCTGCAGCGCTCCTTATTGGATTTCATAGTGTCAGCCATCTTTTTGATGGTTGTGGTAAGTGACAAGATACCTTCAGCGTAGTCCATGATCAGCTGCAGAGAAAGTAAAACAGTTAACGTGACTGTAATGGTGCTACGGTGAAGTAAACTCAAACAGACTGAACTAAACTGAGCTGAACCTGATACAAACTTTATCCTTTTGGAAAGTATGTGTGTAAGGGGCTATTAGCCCCGCTATGTAGGGCTGAAGAAGTGCACAGGCTGCCCTGAACGACTAAAGGGTGGTGGGATCTGAGTCCACGACCCCCATCCCAGTACAGTTGACCCCGATACTTACTTCTATAAGAATGGTTTTAGCTGTCTGGCTGCTACAGGCACAGAAGAAGGGCTCCAGGGCCCAAACCTGCGAAACAGCGACTGCCTGGAGTGCACTGTACTGTCGAATATTCTCAATATGTCACTTCCTCTTCGCTTATTCATACAGCCCGCTAAAGGCCCTACATGGCAGTTTTCCACAAGTTATATGTATGTGCCCTCACATGTGCACACAACAAAAAGGGTTAAAATCTCATGTCAGCTCTCGTGACACTACTAGCAGAGGCATGGCTGTGTCAAGCTAGTTAGGCAAACTAAAGTCATAAATCTTCCAGTCAGACGTATGAAAGTGTGTTCAGACTGAATGTGAGAGATATAATGCAAAGTGACTTAAGGATATATTTTACAATATCTTTGGTAACCTTTTCCAACTTCTCCTGCCCAAGACATTCTTAGAAAAAATAGAATGTGTGGTTACAAAGTGGAAAACTGCCCGTACAAGTAAAAAAAATCATACCTATTTTTTAGACTTGATTTCCCTTCAAGGTGGTCTCTTTGTGCACCTCTGCACTGCTTCCAGTCTGCCTCTTTTAGATCGCTCTGTGGAAGTCCAGGTGCAGCAGCCTGGTGGAGTACAAGAGCATCACAGTTATTTCCTTTATTACCACCCAGAGCTCACGAGCAAACGCAAAGGTCAGCTTTAGATAAGGGGGGTCTTGACAATAATAGCAATACAATGCTATAAGTATCCAAGTACTGCATACTTTTATGTATGCATGATATATACTACACTGATGAGGGAGTTCATTTCAATTCAATTCAATTCAATTCAATGTACTTTATATTGTGAGGTAAAGACCCTACAGCAGGGGTAGGGAACGTTGGTCCTTGAGAGCCGGTGTCCTGCAGGTTTTAGATCTCACCCTGGGTCACCACACCTGAATCAATTGATTAGTTCGTTACCAGGCCTCTGGAGAACTTCAAGACATGTTGAGGAGGTAGTTTAACATTTAAATCAGCTGTGTTGGATCAAGGACACATCTAACACCTGCAGGACACCGGCTCTCGAGGCCTGGAGTTCCCTACCCCCGCCCTACAGTAACATATAGTGGAGCTTCCACTCGGGCCCTTTGTGATTGTCTGCCCCACCCATTCCACACATGTGTATAGAGTCCTGCGTCCTCCTTGTCAGCTGTCAGTGCATCTGTTTGTTTCTTGTGCTCACCTTTTGTTCTTGCACCTCTGCGTGCTGCATTTCATCATGCTCAGGGGGTTGGATGGGCTTTTCCCCGTCTTGTATACAATCAATTTCATAAGTACTGATCTCAGACATATTCTTTAACTCAAGTATTCACTAGAGCCTTTCATCACTGTGTCTGTGAAGATTACCTTTAAGGCTGTTTTTGCATCATGCAAACAACGAAATCTCGCCTATGAACAGCTGAACATTTTTCATTTTTCAAGTTGTAGATAAAACACAACATTTTTGTCTTTCGTTAAAAGTCAAAACAGACCTAAGTTAAAAAAGCTTAAACAATTATCCACAGTATGAGATGTCTTATGTGTGACGTCAGAAGAACATTTGAAATAAAATAAATTTCCACTGCTTCCATTACAGTTTGCAGATCACAGTGGTTTACAGTATTTTATGACTAACCAGCACCACTATTTGTCTTTAGGATTCAAACAATGTATCAAGAGCTATAAATATGTCTCCATCCTTTGCTAAGGCATGCTGCAGGCTAAACTGGAACCACTGGTGGTTCTGGCTCACAGGATGCACATTTATAATCCCTGTGTTAAAAACAAGTCTTCAACACTTAGTTTCACTTTTCATTTAAACTATTTTTCTTCATTAATGTTTGTGATGGACATCAAAAACTCCCCTTGCACTGGAGGATGTGATCTGCCGGCCTCACACTGCTATTTCATGATCTATTTTCCTACTTCATGTGCCGACATTAAGAGAGGAGTTGGTGGTAAAAAGACAAACTTCAGAAGACACCATCTTGATTTGTTTCGGTTGTTCTTTTGTGCTTTAGGAGCAAAATTATTAGGAGAGGCTGCTTGGATATAGATGATCTGGAAAAACTTTGAATCGATCATTTCAATGTTCAGATAGTGTGAAACTAATTAAGATGAGACACAGTGGTTCACTGTGAGTTTCTTTGTCTAAAAGAAGAATGCCTTGTAGGAAATTGTATTTGCTTTTGGGCGTAGACACTCCACTTGTTTCTCATAAACGTGAGCTTTCATGCCAATGACACGTTCTTAATTATGCTGCTTGCCTTTTCAGAACAGAAACTGGTGTAAAAATAAAGTGATATTGAAAAAAAAAACCCTCATCTTCTTTCTTATTGCAGTTACTGCACTACATTATAGACTTTGGAGACATTAGCACTTCAATCTGTGGATGTAGACGGCACAGTAAACAGAAATCTAATGAACTCATTGACAAACTTTAATAAATAACAGCTATGACCAGAACAGTAAAACCTGACATTGTTTACACATTCAGTTTCACTGGTAAATGAGATTCTCATCCAGGGCCAGGCATTTATGCTTTACCGACATGTTCTGATTTAATGTCAAATGTGCATCTCGCACAGCTTTTTCCTCTCGCAGTTGCTCCCATGTAATTCCCTTAAACAGTCAACAAACAGGAGATTTAGCTCAAAGAAACAGCCTGCTTTTAGCTTTGAGATGCAGTAAAGAAGAAAAATAAATAAAATTCTTTAACAAAAGTAAATACAATACAAAATGTAATGTCACACAGGAACACAGGATTAAAGATTGAGTTTGGTTATTTACCAGTCAGTAGATGTCATCAGCCTCCCTGCTGAGGTGTTGAGGAAAATGAAAGTCATTTTCATTCTCGGTTTTAAAGTGATGTCTCAAACATTTCTGGCATCTGTGTTATGTCTGTCTACAGCGACAAACTTGACTGTAATAAACCTGTTTATCCTGTAAAAACCAACATGCGTAACCTTGTGTTCAGCATTCACAGGTAACGTGAGCAACAGCACTACTGCAAATAAACACAACTTACCAAAGGAGTATGCAGTAAATAGGTTTTGCACTGACTATGAGGTTGAATCATCTGTATTTAAATAATCTCTGCTGGGAGGATGAATTTTATGTGTGCAAGCTGTTAAGTTTGGGAACAGCTGCCACAAACTGTATATAAAAGACAGATCATCATCTAGTGGTTTTAGACACTGTATTAGCAGCCACCTTGTTGGTTTTTTGAATTTGGATGGGGCCATATTTACTTGAAAGGAGATCAAAAAGGTGCTCCATAAAGAAAGGAACAGAAAAAGATCTAGTATGACGCTAACATACTTCAGATATCCAAAATACCAAAGTGCATTACTGCATCACTCATCATGTTTTATGATGTTAGGCTGATATACACAGTAGTAAAATGAAAGTCATTTTCATTCTCGGTTTTAAAGTGATGTCTCTGAAACATCTGTGGTATCTGTGTTTGTCAGTGTACAGCTACAGACTTGACTGTAATAAACCTGTTTATCCTGTAAAAACCTACATGCGTAAACTTGTGTTCAGCATCTAACGCGTTCACGTGAGAGATGTTACTACTGTAAATAACACGGGGCTGGAAACTAGAAGCTGGGAGTCAAATGTTGTGTTTTCATCAGAGTGGTGCTTTGGCAATATAACAGAAGTTTAAATTGTCTCGAAGTTTTGACTAACAACACATTCCAACAAAAAAAAGAAAAATCTGAACTAAAACTGAAACTTTGAAAAGCTTAAAATAAACCCTGAATAATTTATTTTATTTCCTTTTTTCCTCAGCTAATAAAAGTTTCCTATGGCCATTAGTTGTAATTTGAATATGACTGAACTGCTGCGTTTTGATGTGTTTAATATTTGACTCGTTTTTAGTGATTTTTCAGCAGTGTTGGGCAAGTTACTTTGAAAAAGTAATTAATTATAGTTACTAGTTACTTCTTCAAGAAAGTAACTGAGTTAGTAACTGATATTCTAAAAGTATGCTTTCTTCCATTTGCGCAACATCTCTAAAATTAGAAATATCCTGTCTCAGAGTGACGCTGAAAAACTACTTCATGCATTTATTACTTCCAGGCTGGACGACTGTAATTCATTATTATCAGGATGTCCTAAAAACTCGCTGAAAAGCCTTCAGCTGATCCAAAATGCTGCAGCAAGAGTCCTGACAGGGACTAGAAAGAGAGAGCAGATTTCTCCTGTTTTGGCTTCCCTTCATTGGCTTCCTGTTAAATCCAGAACTGAATTCAAAATCCTGCTCCTCACTTACAAGGTCTTAAATAATCAGGCCCCATCTTATCTTAATGACCTTGTAGTACCATATCACCCTATTAGAGCACTTCGCTCTCGCTCTGCAGGCCTACTTGTTGTTCCTAGAGTATTTAAAAGTAGAATGGGAGGCAGAGCCTTCAGTTTTCAGGCCATTTTTAACTACTTTTGATTTTCCCTCCACATTTTACTTTGTTTGGTATCATCCTTTTCAGCACAACCTCACGTGTCTGAATTTACAGTTATGTTTTCATTTTGACATACTGTATTAACACAATTGATCTAAAATCAGACAAAAAACATAAAATCAGAGTAGAAAAAGTTATATTTTTACTGTAACAACCACAAACATGTTTAATGATCATATTTCATAACTTTAAATGCAAATATAAATGTCAATTTTAAAATCCTATGCACAAGTTTTGCAAACAAAGTTATTTGCATCCATTTACCTTTTACCTTGATTTTTTTAATAACCATTTCAAACTATTTACAGAACAATCAGCTGTTCTGCATTCAATAAGATGCACACAAATTATTTGTGCCACTCCAAAAAAATAATTTCTGTCCACTATAAAGAAGAACATCACAGCCTGATACCTGCAGATCTGACAGCAGCAGGTGTATCACTCCTGTTTCTACCTGGAGACAGCAGTCGCCTCAAATCTCTCACATCTCAAAACTCGCTCTCTCTCTCTTTCTGCTCTCTCTCTCTCTCTCTCTCTCTCTCTCTCTCCGTCACTCCTAAAACTTCCCGTTTTTTTGTTTTTTAATTTTTGCTCATAAGCAGAGAGCGCTCGCTGCGCTGTCTTTAGACAGTAAACGTGACGGAACTATTGAGGAAAAAGCGCCGCGTATATCTTGTTTATCATGACTCTGGTTTTACGTGGCCGATCAACACAATTTATAAACTGGTATATGTCACCTTGTTGCTTTTTCTTTAAGTGGTCATGTGATTGGCTCACCACGACTACTTTATTCTTCATTTCTGTGCTGAACAGTCATTTTAAGATTAGCTAGTAAATAACAATTAGCTAATGTTGTTCATGAGACTAAAGTCATCTCACTGTGGTAATGTAAATATAATATGGCCAATATTATAGTTATTATATTAGTCATTATTAGCTATTACAGCAGTGAGTTTGAACTCTGTGTCAAACACTGAGCTTCAGTAAAGATTCAAGTTGCAGTTATTTACATGTCTTATCACCTTAAATCTTCACTCAAAGACAAGTATCTTTGACAGTGCATATATAGGTGTATCATATATAAGAGACAAATATTTTTCTTTTAATATGTTGGCATTACTAAATTTGGCTCATTGCTTACATATATGTGTAAAAAGCAAATGTACGAGCTGTGATAACTGTGTCTGATAGAATGAAGAGTAGACTGATATATGAAATATTCCTTTATTGGGTGAGAAAATCAGACCATGTCATAACTGCTTTAAGTCATACAGAATAGACATCAGAGCCTTAAACAGGCTGACGTCTGCTAAATGGGTCAAACTGGGCAGAAAGTCTACAAACACATAACATCCTTATAGAATATGATGTAACACTATAGATCAACTTAGCTCAGAATACATAAAGCAAATAAACAGTCACAGCAATATGATGCAACAAACACAGCAGCTACTGATCCAAAATACTCAAAGCTTCATAGAACTGAAACAAACATTTATTTTTAGCTCCATTCTGCTGCTGATACAGACTTTAGGTTTCTGAATGTTAAACTTTGATTATGGCAAAGCTGTGAAAACGTGTGACCTTAAATGACTGGATTTACACCTGAGCTTGGAAAATTCTTCCTTTTTTTGTTTTTGTCAGACACTGAATGTGATCATAAGTTTATATCTTACTGAGTAGTAACAGAAGTCTGCTTTTTAAATAAAATTTATGAGAGCTTGTTTGTACACAGTATGTTTTTTCTTTGTTTGTTTTTTTGTCTTTTGTTTTTTGGATTTTGATATTTTTCTCCCACACTGAAAACACTGATATAATTATATTAATATTACTTAATGAGACTGATTCAGGACAGACAGTTAGTTATGTTAAACTTTTCTATCAGTCCTTCACAAACAGGGAACAGTCTGTCTATTCTCTCCATCTGTCAGCTGCTGCTGGTTCTTCCTCCTCCTCTTCCTCACACACTGCTGAGTTTGTCCTGGTGGATCATCAGGGGTGCAAAGCCTCACAGATGATGTGCAGCAGTGGGTCCCTCAGTCTGTCCTCACTCTGGACACTTGCAGTTGTCACACATGGAAATCAAATGTGTGATAAGCTGCAGGATTCAAACACAAGTGTAACTTATAAACACATGTTCATACTTTTATTCCACAATCAGAGAGAAAGAAACAGAGAGAGAGTGCAGGACAGACAGACAGGTGACAGTCTCAGGTGTACACACTGCTACAAACAGGACAAGAGAAGCAGGATTTAGTGTTTGTGTTATTACGAGTGCTAAACAAGAAGAGTTCCCAGATGGTACAGTGGACACATGTGTGACTGCTGTGATTAAAGCATCTTTCTTTCAGCTTAACGAGTGAACCGTCAGCTCGTTCAAACACACGTTAAAGTCCGTTTGGCTCGACACCACCGAACAGAGGCAGCAATATAACACAGCTCACATTAACAGTGCAGTGAATCCTGCTTGTGCCGTGATATTCAGGACTGCAAACCGAGCAGCATCACTGACTTTCAGCTTGTTGTATTTGACCTGTATCCTGACCTGTTCCACTGTGACACTGGGAGATGATTGGAGGTGAGGGTGGGTGGGTGGGGGTGGGGTGGGGGGGTGGGGGGTTGTGGGCTGGTCAAACCTGTTGAAGAAGTTAACAGTTAGTTTATGTTATATATTTTATGCTTTTTGTTGACTTTTGAGAGCTTAAGTTGATATTTTAAAGCAATCAATTCACTGCATTTCATTTATGACATTATTGTAGAGTCTATAAAGCTATAAAATGCACAGCTCCTTCCGGCATGGCCGAAAGAGAGCTGGCAGCAGTCACACAACACAGCTCATGGTTCTTTGTATTTGTAATATGGTAGACTAATGTGCCTGTGTTAATTCAGCTCCATATTGTTGTGTGAAGTTGCACTGGGTTGGGAGTGGTTGTGTGTGTGTGTCACATTTTTGGTGAGCCAATGGCTGTAATGGGGTTGGACTAATTAGAGGCAGGTGTACTTGACTGCACTGATACACTGGTCTACTTATAGCCCACACTACAAACACTGCTGTGCTTTGTCTCTCTGTGCAGGTATGTAATGTGATGAAATCTGATATGTTTGGGCTGGATGGGTTTTCTGTAGTGAATGTGTCATTTTGTCTCTCTGTGCAGGCCAGGGCCTATTATATGCCACACAGAGGCTGGAGTGACCACTGGCTATATACTTGCAGGGTGGTGGGTCTCAGAAGACAACTTCTAACCCTGTTGAGGTTCAACACGTGGAGTGCAACTGGCAGTGTGGCATAGCTGGCTCTGGCCTTGGGACTGTGCGTTTTACTTGATTCATAAATGGGACACTGGACTGTT